CTGCCCTCAACGTTCACCATTACCACCTCTCTCAGTTCACGCCAACAGAGCTGTGGCCGCTCATGCACAGACGCTGCTCTCTGCATCTGGTGGTGTCTGCCACCTTTCAACACTCGAGGACCGGTTCGACTACTCAGCAATGAGTTTGGCACCGATCCTCCGCCTCGTCCTATGTGTATGTCACCCATGTTCTTCGGTAGGTCTCTTGTACCCTTACATCGTCGTGTACATGTCTCAAAGGTTCGTTCTTGCTCTTGCTGAGTTGGTAAGTGGCTTTACTAACCCAGCCTGATTTTGTGTTCTCGGCGTGCCTAATAAGTATCTCCATGTTGCGTACTAGTAGTCCTCAATGTATTCTACCTGCTTCCAATGATCATGTGCTATGGATAAGACAAATGTCCACCAGCGTGCGATCCAAACTATCAGCTAATATCTCACACACATGTGCATTCAACGACCATATCGTGGTTTGGGTGTGTCCTTCCATGGCAGGATCCTCACCAATTACCTACCATTGATGTTCATTGGCGCAGTCGTAAACGTACATTGTCGGCCATACGCCCTCTACGTTATGGTAACTAATGATCCGATGCTCAGCCAGGACCGACAGTCAGTGTTCAGGCGCCCCGCAAGGTCCGGCCATTGCAGAGCATACCTGGCGATTCTCTACCAGTTTTCGCCATCCCTTTGCCATATCTCGCCAATCTGGCCGTGTAAGACGGATGCCGGACATAACTGACCATTTCTTTCGCTTTTTTGCTGATGTCGAGCGGCACTCGCTCAGTTGGCGGGTTCGACCACGTGATAATCAGAGGTTATGTAAGTATTTTGCTTGTCTCAAATTCCCAGACTTGGGCACAGCGGAATCACGGATTGAGTTGCGGCTTTCTGCGTCTTGCTCCAGGAAAACACTGGTACTTCACTGCCTCGCTTCTCTTCCTCGTTCTTCTAGCTTGTATCTTTATTTCTTTTCATGTACTTCTGCTGAGACCGGCTCTTCCACTATGTTCACTGGCAACGGCATCAAAATCTTCACTGGTGCGTCTTCGTGCACCCAGATCGGTTCGTTCGCCCGCCTCAATCCTGTGCGCAGGCACTAGCCACCCCGAGCTTGCAGAGATCATCGCCCGACGGTACCAGTTCATCCTGCAGCATTTCAAGGAGCGAACGGTCTAACAGTCTCGTCTTCCAGACTCGGTGTACCTCTCGCAAGGGCTGAGGTGACCAAGAGCGGCATCGGAGAGAGCCATGTCCGCATCACCGAGTCCGTCCGCGAGGACGACGTGTACATCATCAACACCGGGTGCGGCGAGATCAACACGGCCCTCATGGAGGTCTGCATCATGATCCACGCCTGCAAAATCGCGAGCGCGAAGCGCATCACCGCCATCCTGCCTCTGTTCCCCTACGCCCGCCAGGACAAGAAGGACAAGAGCCGGGCACCCATCACGGCCAAGCTCGTAGCGAACATGCTGCAGAAGTCGGGATGCGACCATGTCATCGTGAGTGCTGCGGTTAGTGCGCCGGGTGTCGGGCTAGCGGTCTCACAAGCGACGGGACGAATGCTCGTGCTCGGGATGTGGATAGACCATGGACCTCCACGCCTCACAAATACAGGGCTTCTTTGACGTGCCTGTGGACAAGTGGGTTTTTCGTCGCTCATGGCAACTTGACTTGAGAGCTCACGTTTTTACCGGCCTCTAGCGTAAGTGACGCCGGTCTGTCCCGTTGTATTCTCGTTCACACATGTGTCTGTACCAGCTATACGCGGAGCCGTCGTCAATTCAGTACATCCGCACGAACTTCAACTTGTCTGACATCGTCATCGTGTCTCCCGACGCGGGCGGCGCGAAACGGTAAGTGGCGATCGTGCCCCGCAGTGTCAAGCGCGGAATGCTCACGTCTCACGTCTCTCGCGGCACCCGACAGAGCGACGTCCATGGCCGATCGGCTAGGGGTCGACTTCGCGCTGTTCCACAAGGAGCGCAAGAAGGCGAACGAGGTGTCGCGCATGGTGCTCGTCGGGCACGTCAAGGACAAGGTCGCGATCCTGGTGGACGACATGGCGGACACCTGCGGCACGCTCTGCCTCGCCGCGCAGCACCTGTCCGAGGCGGGGGTGGCGAAGGTGTACGCGATGGTGACGCATGGGATCCTGAGCGGGAACGCGCTGAAGAACGTGGAGGAGTCCGCGCTGGAGAAGCTGATTGTGACGAACACGCTGCCGCAGACGGAGAACGTCGCGAAGTGCGCCAAGATCGAGGTGATCGACATCGGGAACGTGCTCGCAGAGGTGATCCGGCGCAGTCACTATGGCGAGAGCGTGTCGAAGCTGTTCGACGAGGTGCCATACTAGCTGATACTTAGTTAGCGCACCCCCCCTAATTGTGAAACGGCGTATTGGGGCGGGGGACTGTTCGCGATTGGCTTGGCACGTTGTGGAGATGAAGACGATTTAGATGCGCATGAATTCTTGTACTATGTACCGAAAGCATTAATGACACGACGGATAGTCTTCCATACCGGCCATTGTGCCGAGCCTGGCCGTAGGCTAGTATAGAGTGCGAAACGGGACGAAGGGCCAAACGTCTATATGCAAGAACGGGGCTTTTTACCGAGGACTTGACACCGAGAAGGACTCGGTGCAGATCATGGCCGACCTCATGGGCGAGCCGGCGGGCGTGTTCGAGGCTCTGGGCTGTGTCAGCGAGGAAGGAGAGTGAAGATGCGGATCGCGATCAATGGTGTTCTCATTCGTGCGCGCGTGGGGAACTGTTCGGGCTGGAGATGGGAAGGCTGCGGGACATCACCCGCTGATCGCGGCGAATCAGGCCGGCAGGTTGGAGGGGTGGACATTGAACGTTTACGCGGGCGGCGCTGTGGGTGGTGACGACGGTGATGGCTGGGGATGCGTGGATTGGGTCGCGTACGGCGGTGGGCGGCGGGGGGGCGGGGGCGGGGCGGGGGGTGACGACGTGGCTGAAGCGAAGTGGGTCGGAGCTGGAGCACACGTCAGGAAGAGGGCGCGGCTAAAAAAGAAAGGTTCGATGAAGAGAGACGGGCCCATGTCCACGCGCACCCTGCTTCTCGTCCCATCAAGCAGCTACCCAATCAGCCCATCAGACTCGCAGAGTCAATATTAATGCCTTGTGTGGCGTTAGCGGGGAGGGGGCCGCATCTAATGCTTCCTGCCGTGCCATCTTCCACAGGCATGGAACCCGGCCGCGCTCATTTCATCTCAGAGCGAGCTCCCAGCGCGATGTGCCATCACCAGTCGGGTGGCTAGCTGGAGATGATTACCGAGGTGCAGTAAATGCGATCGGGTGATCGCTGTCGACACACAGCCGGCAATCTGGATTGTGTTCCAGACGGGCTGTCGGGGGGCGCGAGCAGCTTGCGGAGGAGGGAATAGAAGAGCGGTGAGCAGGGAAGAGGCCCCCGGACGCCAACGCAGCGCAGGAGGGAGCTAGCGGATTTGCAGGCGTCTGGGACGGCCGGAAGCTGTATCGGGAAGGAAAAGGCCCCGAAAAGGGAAGAAGGGCGGATTGCGGGACCGATTGTGGACGTGGCAAAAATAAACGGGAAAATAAATGGTGGATGATCGGCCGGGGAGGTGGATTCTGTTTCTGTCGAGGAGCCAGTGCCCGCCCAAAGCTGAGAGCGAGTTCACCTCCGGGCGTCTCCTGCTCCTGCTCTCGCTCTCTCCCTGCTCTTCCTTCCCCTCCACCCGCCGCTCCCTTCCCTTTCCCTCGTCCGCCCCGTCGCTCTGCGCCCGCCCCCTTCCGCCCTATCTTTATTCATCCTCCATGCGCCCTTGAACTCCCTGCGCTTCTCCTAATTCGCGACTCCTCGGGCGATGCAAGTCACATCCATATCATGTACACAAACCATGTCCACCAAGGCCATAATCCCCAAGTCCACCTCCACAACCCGTATCCGACACACATGTCCAACGGCCACGCGCCAAACAACCATCCCCCACACCAGCCCCCTCCGCCCCCTCCCCCCGCACACCGCGCCCAGGCGCCCACCGCGAAGGAGCGCATCACCGTCAAGGCCGTCCCCTCTGTCACCGTGCAGAACAACCAACTCGTCGTTGGCGACTCCGGAAGCAGTCAGTATATGCGCTTACCGCCCCTTCTCGCCCTCATGATGTTGGTTCACTCATATCCGTCTCCTCGGTTTGCAGGTTCCACGCGATCGTATACACCGCTCAAGTTGGTCGGAGATGGATCTTTTGGCACGGTCTGGCTCTGCGATTGGCATGGGACGCTACCGCCCAATACACCCTTGTCAGCCATGCAATGCGGTCCTGGGGCGAGGCCCGAATATGCGGGCAAGAGACTGGTCGCCGTCAAGAGGATGAAGAAGCAGTGGGAGGGCGGCTGGGACGAGTGCAAGAAGCTCAAGGAGCTCGAGGTGCGTCCCGTTTCTCTCCGCCACGATCCCAGCCCTTCATGCATCATCGTATGACAGTCGCTACGTGCGATATCCTATCACCCCAACATCATTCCGCTCTACGACTTCTTCCTCCTCCCTGACACCAAGGAGCTCTACTTCGTCTTCGAGTCTATGGAAGGCAACCTGTACCAGCTTATCAAGACTCGCAAAGGTAAACCGCTCGCGGGCGGTCTGGTTTCCTCCATCTTTCGCCAGGTCGTAGAGGGCCTCCACCACATTCACGAGTCGGGCTACTTTCATCGCGACATGAAGCCGGAGAACCTCCTCGTTACTACCACGGGGCTGTACGACTATCGCCCAGTGTCACCCCATGCTCCTCCAAATGCCCCTCCCGAGAGCGACGTTGTGGTCATCGTCAAACTTGCAGACTTTGGTTTGGCGAGGGAGACCAAGAGCAAGCCCCCTTATACGGAGTATGTCTCGACGCGGTGGTACCGCGCGCCAGAAGTTCTGCTCAAAAGCAGGGACTACTCCAATCCCGTGGACATGTGGGCACTTGGAACCATTATGGCGGAGCTAGTCAACTTGCGGCCGCTCTTCCCCGGTCAGGGAGAGGTAGACCAGGTGGCGAGAATCTGCGAACTTCTGGGCGATCCTTGCAGGGATTATGGCCATGACGCGAGAGGGAAGCCCATTGGCGGTGGAAAGTGGCCGCGGGGAGTTAAGATGGCACGCCAATTCGGGCTCTCGTTTCCGGAGGTGCGCATATACGCGGTCAGGGTCTCCCTTCCTTCGCCTTGCTGATCTTGTCATCTTCCAGATTCCGCCCAGAGACATCTACACCCTCTTCGATCGCTCAGTCCCGATCAAGCTGGTCGAGTGCATCGCTGATCTGCTGAAGTATGACCCTGACTTGCGCTTGACGAGCAAGCAATGCCTCGAGCACCCGTACCTCCTCGAGACGACGCCGCTGAACAACCCGCCTGGCCCTCCGGGGTATTCACAACCAGTTGTTTCCAACGGCCGTGCCGCTCGCTCCTCGCAACCCAACGGCGTGTCTCCCGCGCGGTCGCCACCCTCGGTTGCGCCTCGCAACATCCCCCCATCTCACTCTCACAACTCGTTTCCAGAGCAGCCAGAGTTCGAGCCCCAGCCGCCAGCGGCGACCGTGCAGATACCAGAAGCCTCCGCGTCTCACCGTACGCCTTTTTACGATACCCCTTCGTCACGCACGCAGGTCTCCGACGGAGGCAGCACGTCTCCATACCCTTCAGATGTCGCTCAGGTTCAATTACCCAACGGCTCGTATCCGCTTCGCTCTCGTACACCCTCGGAGCAGTCGCATGGATGGCCTTCTTACGCCTCGGACTCCCAGGGACCTTGGGATCCTATGGAGATCTCGCCTCATGTCGAGATCCCTCCGGACGGGTTTCCTCAATCGATGGACGTCCAGACATCTCCCATGCTCAGGGAGTACCCCGCGAGGCCGCAGGTCGAGGATTCCATCCAGGAAATCGTCAGCGGGAACATTCACGACATCACCGCACACCAGGCATCGAAGGGCAGGGGCACGGGTCTCTTCAAGAAGCCGAGCAAATGGGGCATCTCCAGCATGTTTGGCGGACATGGAGACAAGGGTGCACAAGCGCCTCTTCCGCCGTTGCCAGAACACCACGTCAGTTCTGCGGGGTCGACACCGTCACTCAAGCGCACGCAGTCCTCCAGCACGGACAGTCGCTCGCTGTCCGAGCTCTCTCCCATCCAGGAAGCTCCTCCGCGGATCGTGGACCCGAAGCAGCGGAAAAAGGAGGCCGAACGAATACGGCGGGAATCGGAGAAACAGCGACGTCTGCTCGCGGAGAAGATGCAGAAGGAGCAGGCGCGGGCGGTGTTGGAGAAGAGCAAGAGGTTCCGCGATCCGTCAGCATCGTTGGATTTCGAGTGGCGCAGCAGTTTCGCGATGATACATGGCGCGTCGAACAACGGCCAGCGGCCGAATGGCAAGCAGCCCGCGGCGGGCGGACCCATCCGCCAGACGCAGAGCCACGGCGTGTCCTCTATCGACGCCGCGGGAGGGAGCTTCGTGAGCAGCGTCGCCGAGTCGCATCCGCGAAGCGAGTGGCCAGGGCGGGACGAGCGATTACCCAAGGCTCGTCGGCGGGACTTCGACGACGATCACTCGATGTCGTCGACGGACATGCCGAGCGGCGTGTCCGTGATCTCGTTTGCGACGGTCGACAGCGATCCCGGCCCACCACGGTTACGACATCGACCGAGCGCGCTGGGGATCAGCAGGATGACGTCCATGTCGTCGTTGGGCACGCTGTCCGACGAGTTCTCGCCGCACGGCCGTTCGTCGTCGTCGCTGGCGATGGAGCAGCAGTTCGCGAACGAGTTCCATCTGCGCGCGTCGGTGGACTCGTCGTCTATCTCGGACGGGGGGTCGTCGCCCGCTGCGCCACCCATGCACATGCTCTCGCTGTCGTCGCCGATACCGTGGTCGCGGGAGCACGGGAGCAACTCGACGGTGGACAACGCTGAGGGGCGGCCGGCAGCGGCGGGGGAGAGGCCGACGCTGACGATCCCCCCGCAACCGACGCATCCGGTGGGGTTCCAGCCCCAGGGCCCGCTGAGTCCGTACGATCCGAGAGGGAATGGGAGCTATCCGTCCAGTCCTGGCATCGCGCCCAAGTCTGCGATTAATCCCATATTCAAAGTGGTGAGTGTATTATCTTTTTGCTGCGCGGGACGTCGTGTGCACGGGCTGATGGCGTACGGTCGACGCAGCCGCCGTTATCCTCGCTTCAAGCGCGACCAGGCTCGTTGCCACCCTTTTCGCAGCTCGAGGCGGTCGCGGAGGGCGAATATCCCCCACTATCGCCCATGTCGTTCACCTCGCCGGAGGACATCGGGAACGACTTCGGATAACCCTTGTAGTGCGCTTGGCCTCCTCTGCTTCGCTCTCTCCCTCACGGGTCCGCTGTTGTACATTCTTCTGGGTCGGCTGTCGCATATCACACTCATTCTTGCTTTCTATTTAACGGCTCACGTCCTGCTCGCATCTTTCCTCTCTGGCTCTGCTGCACGCGCTCCTGCACCGCTTCGCGCACTCCCCTGCATCTCGTCCGTCCCCATTCGCACCATTGTCGTCCTCGCCCTCCTCCGTCAATCACCGCATTCTCCCCGTCCCTCATTGCATGCGCACATTCTTCGCCTCCTTTTTGCATCTTCGACTTCCCTCTTCAGAACTTAACTGTTGCATTCGCTCGTCGTTCATTAGGACCCCACAGTTCACACGGTTTGCGCACTCCATCATCTCCTTTGGGGACGCTGCATCCGCACGCGCATCTTCATTCGGACCGTCGTGTGCGACGGAAGACGGCGCTGGCGCGTCCCCCCCACACACACTCGCTTACTTGCTATCTCATTTCCCTCCTCCACCTCCGCCTGCCCCCCAGCTCATATCCCCCCGTGCTTCCCCATTCGCTTTCACGGTGCCCGTACATTACAATTACCGCTATTTCTGACGACGCGCGCGCGCCTGTGGCGGCGCGCCGTGGCGTTTGCTGCTCGCATCGCATTACCCCCGTCTCGTCTCTATACGGACGCGGTTTATCATTTATCATACATAGACTGCATCTCATGTGTATTTGTACAGTACTCGAGGTGTCCCGCCAAAAAGGAGTTAAAACAGCACCTTGCCCCCGCGTGCGTGCTGTTCTCGCAAGGCGTGCGCGTGGCAAAGCCGGCTTGGCGTGCGACACGCGCAGGCTGTTGCGGGGCCCGTGAGGCCCTGACGCGGGGACGCCGGGCAGGACTCGCGCAGAAGCCCGAGAAGAGTTCTAAGTTGTGCGCGTGAGGCGAGCTGGAACGTTCCAGGGCGACGTGCTTGCGGGCAGAAGCGGATGGCATTTGGCAGGCGTTCACAGCCGTAACGCAAGACGGACGGTGCGTGGAGGGCTGAGCTACTATGAACTTGATACGCGTGCCACTACCACCGGCAGCGGTCGTACATGGCAGACGTCCTGTTGCGAAGAGCCGCCTGTCTCCTTGATGCATTATATGAAACGCGAGCTGGACGCTCCACGACTAGTGGGGTGCTGGCCGCTGTGCGCGCTCGCACAGGAAGTCCGACGTCAATGAAGGCTGACGGATGGCCTAGACCGCGCAGGTTGGGCACGAGCCAAGAGAATGAATGCACCCATGATCTGCCGTCCTACGCACGCTGTAACTCCGGAGCGGAGTGCGAGAACGTCGACGTCGAGGCTGTGGTAGATCGTGGGATTGACTGAAGGATGTGCCGAACTCTAACCTTTTCCGCGACGCGGGTCTGACGGACTTCGACGCCGATACGTACGCGGACCTACGGGTATGTTCTTGCGAAGGTGTCACACACCGATGCTGTGGGCAGGGACGCATGATGATGGTGTACGTCGGGGCGAACTGAGGTCCAAGAAGCATAGGCATTCCAAGACGGATTCGCGAGTCGCAGGTTGCGTTAGGGAAGCGGTACTTCGACGGATAGGTACGCTGAATGAGAGAAGGGTCACGTACAAGGGCACGATCGACCGGTATTCGCACGTCGGAGGAAGTCGAACGCACCGATGAAGGGATCGGATCGGTCTGACGTCGAGCGACAGCGCGGCAGAGTGTATAAGAGAACGATCACAGAGAGAATGGCATTGGCCCGCTATAGAGATGAGGCGACTGTATATAAGGGGGCCAGTGGGAGACCTAGTGATGATGTGCCTGCTCGAAGCGGAGACCGCTGATAAGGAACGGAGCGTCAGCATCACCTGCAGAGGCGGAGCGGCGCGAGGAAGCGTACCAGTATCTGTGAACGTCCAGGGACGGGAAGCGGGCAAGCTTCGAATTATTACAGCAGAAATAGGAGCACTGAAGGAGCACATACCCACACGCCCGCGGTCCTGGCTTGTCCTATTCACGATTACTGTGAGTACCTTGCTAGCAATTATAGCAGCGATGAGACTCACCAGGTTGATGAAGATCTTAGGATGACCGAGAGGACCTCCTCCTAGATATACGGTGAATAAGCGCCGCTAGTGAAGATGACGATACATACCACCGTCGCAGACGGCTTTGCGACCGTGGACAACACGGATGGGCTCTTTGTTAATCATTTCCATGGCGCTGAGCGGGTTAGGCTGGAGCTCCATAACAGTCTGCTCGAAACGCGGGCCCGAATGCTGCTGAGGTCGGGGACGCTGACTAGTCGACCATGTGTTCGGGTGATTGGGAGACTGGGGGATGGCGACAGATGAAGAGGGTGCCTCGTGCGTAGGAACAGGCGTTGAGGTAGAAGAAAGACGTGTGAGAGGGCGGGCAAGGCCCTGGAGAGCTCGGCGAGCCAGCATGGCGGTCAACGCAGAGTTGGGCGGGTCCCAAAACGGGAAGTCGGGCGGTTGGCCCAGGCGAGGACGGGAAGCGTGGGGAAACGGCCGGGCTGGTCCGGAAACCGGGCTCTGGAAGAGGCTCGAGCAGTGATGAGGCCGGTGACGTCACGGCTGTTGCCGGAAAAGGGAGGATGCACGGATAGGGACAGTGCTCGAATGTTCTACGGTCCAGTCGAGCCTGTTCATGAACTGTTCCTCCTAGTTCCAGCATTCTCGAATACGAGCAGTATATCTACCCCATGTCCGCCCAGCCAGCTCCCTAACTTTCTTTCGACGACCACATTTCTTAGATACCCTTCTCTCCCGCATACTTCTTTTCCATCATGAATAACATGCAATTTACGGACAAGACTCAAGAGTCGCTAGCCGCAGCGATTCAACTCGCGAAGGACTATGCGAACGCGCAAGGTACGTTCATTTGTTTCCGATCGCTGAGGTTCCACTTTCACTGACGCGCACGTTCACAGTGCATCCCGCGCACATAGCCTTCGCACTTCTCAATGAGGGCCAGAGCGAAGGAGGAGGTCCATCCACCTCTTCACTCTTCAGCTCGGTTATCGACAAGGCCGGCGGTGACACGGTACTTAACCTCCATTGCGCTCTAGAGTTCTACGAAGTTCTAACATATTTTCCCTAGGTTACAATTCGGAGAGCTCTCCAGAAGCTCATCGTACGACTGCCTACGCAGTCACCACCACCCGAAGAGGTCTCTCTCAGCTCTGCCGCCGCCAAGGTCATTCGTGAGGCCGACTCGCTCAGGAAAACCATGCACGACTCCTACATTGCTCAGGACCACATCCTCGCCGCCCTGATCAAGGACTCCTCGATCGCCCCCATCCTCAAGGAGGCGGGTCTTACCGAGGACGTCGTCAAGACGGCCATCGACCAAATCCGGGGTAATCGTCGTGTCGACAGCAAGAACGCCGAGCAAGGCTTCGACGCTTTGAACAAGTATGCGACTGACCTCACCGCTCTGGCCGAAGAGGGCAAGCTAGACCCTGTCATCGGTCGTGACAACGAGATTCGTCGTGTTGTTCGTATCTTGTGTAGGAGGTGAGTGGCTTCATTTGCCGGTCTCTGCTGCCCTGATGTTGCTAACTATGGACCTTCAGGACAAAGAACAACCCGATCCTCATCGGTGAGCCCGGTGTCGGAAAGTCTGCCATCGCCGAGGGTCTCGCGCAGCGGATCGTCAACCGCGACGTGCCGGCTTCGCTCATTGCACGCCTCTACTCCCTCGATATGGGTGCACTCATGGCGGGTGCGAAGTACCGGGGAGAGTATGAGGAGCGTATCAAGTCCGTCCTGAACGAAGTCGAGAAGGCCATCGAGGAGGGTCCCGGCGTTATCCTCTTCATCGATGAGTTTCACCTCATCATGGCCGGCTCTGGCGGTATGGACGCCGCCAACCTCTTCAAGCCCCTCTTGGCACGCGGCAAACTCCGCTGCATCGGTGCGACGACGCTTAAAGAGTATAGGGAATACGTCGAGAAGGATCCCGCTCTCGAACGTCGGTTTGCTCAGGTCATCGTCAACGAGCCTTCGGTCCCTGAGACGATATCGATCCTCCGTGGTATCCGCGAGAAATACGAGGTCCACCATGGTGTTCGCATTCTCGACGGGGCCCTCATCTCGGCTGCGCAACTGGCCCACCGTTACCTCACCTCAAGACGTCTTCCCGACTCTGCCATTGACTTGGTCGACGAGGCGTGCGCAAGGTAAGCTTTTGTGCTACTCCCTGCGGTGGTGTTCCAAGGCTTGCTAACTTGTATTTTGCAGCGTCCGTGTGACACGCGAGACTGCTCCCGAGGCCATTGACCAGCTCCAGCGCCGTAAGCTCGAACTCGAGGTCGAAATCCACGCTCTTGAGCGCGAAAAGGACGAAGCCTCCAAGGAGCGCCTCATCAAGGCCCGCAAAGCTATCGCAGACGTCGAGGACCAGCTCAAGCCCCTCCAGGCTGCCTACGAAGCCGAGAAGAAGCGCGGTGACGAGGTTCAGAACGTCCGCAAACGCATCGACGAGCTCAAGGCCAAGGCCGACGAAGCAGAGCGCCGTTACGACCTCGCAACCGCGTCGGACCTCCGCTACTACGCTATCCCCGAGCTCCAGAACCGGCTCGCGCAGCTTGAGTCGAAGAAGGCTGAAGAGGACCTGGCGCACGGCTCGGGTACCGACGTCGTCACCCCCGAGCAGATCGCGGAGATCGTCGGCAGGTGGACGAACATTCCTGTGACGCGCTTGATGAGCACGGAGAAGGAGAAGCTGCTCCGTATGGAGAAGATCCTCGCGGAGAGCGTTGTCGGCCAGCCTGAGGCGGTCAAGGCGGTTGCGAACGCGATTCGTCTGAGCCGCTCGGGTCTCCGGAACGCCAACAGGCCGATTGCCAGCTTCCTCTTCGCCGGTCCATCTGGTACTGGTAAGACCTTGATGAGCAAGACGGTAAGTTGTCTTCGTATGTGCACTACTCACGAATTTGTATACTAACGAGTCGGTTTCACAGCTCGCAACCCTGCTCTTCGATTCGCCCGAAGCCATGATCCGTATTGATGGATCCGAGTACTCCGAGAAGCACTCGATCGCTCGTCTCATCGGTTCGCCTCCGGGCTACGTCGGCCACGACGAGGGCGGCCAGCTCACGGAGTACATCCGCCGCAAGCCGTACTCGATCGTGCTCATCGACGAAATCGAGAAGGCGTCGCGCGAGTTCTACCAGCTGTTCCTCCAGGTGCTCGACGATGGTCGGCTCACGGACGGTCAGGGCCGCGTCGTCGACTTCCGCAACACCGTAATCATCATGACGGGCAACCTCGGCGCCGCATTCCTCAACGACATGGGTGAGGGCCCTGTCAAGCCTGCGACGCGTGAGCTCGTTATGGGTGCCATCCGCGGCCACTTCCCGCCAGAGTTCATCAACCGTATCGATGAGATCGTCATCTTCGTAAGTATTCTCTTGCTACATGGCGTGCAAGTATCGAACATCATGCTAACTTGTGTTTCTACAGCGCACGCTCTCTCGCAACAACGTGCTGAAGATCGTCGACCTCCGCCTCAAGGAGGTCCATGAACGCCTCGCGGATCGGAAGATGACGCTCCAGCTCGACGACGCGGCGAAGAACTACCTGATGTCGATCGGGTACTCTCCCGCGTACGGCGCGCGGCCGCTCAACCGTGCGATCCAACAGGAGCTCCTCAACCCGCTCTCGGTCATGATCCTCTCCGAGCGCATCCGCGATGGGGAGACGATCAAGGTCCAGTTCGACGGGCCGCACAACCGGCTGTTCATCGTGCCTAACCACGAGGGCACTGGCGAGGAGATGGACGTCGACTACGACGAAGACGACATCGAGATCGAGGAGATGGATTGAACTTGCGGCGGCGGAGTGAGGAACGCACGAGCAATGTAAGATCAAATGGGCTTATGAGTTCCGACGATAGATGGACTTCGCAGATTTGGAGATATCCACTGTATAGCTGATCTTGTCGCATTGTACTGTATCAGTAGACACCACATTCAAAATCACTGTACCATAGGCTAGTAATCGCATTCCATATCTGTCTCTTACATGTCCGTCGACTGCGCAAGACGAGTGTAGACCTTACACGGTTAGTTATGTCAAGCATTCTCTCGTTTCACCTTCTCTAGATCCGGTCGCCTGTCGTCCGCCCTAACTTGTCTGAATAGCGAAGGCCGCGGGTGGCTAGCTGTGTTCTTCCAATGGAAATGACACTAGAATGCCCATCACAGTGCTCAATCAGTCATCATCATCCTTAAAGAGGATATGGGAAATCTCACCCGTCGTCCATTGAACAAGTCAAACTCAATGCCCAATTGTCGGAAGTGGTAGTCGTGGTGTTTGTCTACCATGTACGCGAACGCCTCGCGAGCACGCACATCCCTTGGCCCTTTCCACGTCCTGCTTCGGAACCGCTGCTTATCCTCCTCCGTGATATCAGGGTGGTCCATATCCTCTTCCTTTGGGTGGAGGAGATTGATTGTGTAGGAGCAGCCGTCCCACGGACATGGCCAGATCAGTAATGCGTTGACGTTGGGAGGATGCCATAGCTGCGATGGGAGTCTGGCTAGCAGGTCAGGATCAACGGGGGTGCTGGGACGCGAAGGGGTACTTGTAGGGGATCCGAGGGTAGTTGAGGGAGGTGAGAAGTCTGGATCGTAGGTCCGCATCATAGCCTCGTCTGTGTATGGCTCCGGCAGGTAAACATCTACTATTCTGGGCGAGGCAGCTCGTCTGGTCGTCTTCTACAAGAGATGCGTGGTCAGCACGCTCAAGTCTTACAACAGGATAGGACGACAGCTACAGTCGCAGGTTTACTCTTGCGTCTGGCAGGATTGGGACGGCGAGGGAGATCCTCAAGGTCCGTATCGTCCTCCAGGCTGACGTCGGCCCCGTCCCAGACACCAAAGACTCGGCCGGCTTCCTTAGCTTCCCTACGAAGATGACCCACTCTACCTAGCCACGCGGTCCAAATGTCCACGTCGATCCACTTGTTTTTGTTATTCAACTTTTGCTCTTCTATCAGCCATTTGGCGTGCTCCGCGATGCGAGAGCGCACTTCTGCCCTGGAGACGTGCCGTAATGTATGCTCACGACCTGCCTTCATCCGGCCGGCTGTGTTGTGCTCGATGTCGGAGTCCGACTCAATGTAGAGCGGCCGATGTTGGCGGGCGGCGCCGAGGTATGCGAAATGCTTGAAGTACAGGTCGATGAACCATTCTGGAGTGCGTTTCTCGAGCTTGGTATGATTGTTTGCGTGAGTGTTCGATCCTGCGTCTAGGGCAAGAAGGGTTCGCAGGGTGTAATGTAGCTGGTAGCGAGAGAGGTACTTCACACCAAAATGAGCCTATAGGAGAGTGCTCACAAGATAGGACTAGAACACCTACGCGGCGACTGAGTTCATATGTGTTGATATGCATGGAATTCACGGCATATCTGCGAGTCCTGCGAATGGCCTCAGGGAGCGTCGTGGAGGTCTAGCGCAAGAGACGGACATACATAGTGTTCAACATCAAAGTCCTTGGAACGTCGTCAGCTATTATCAGTAAGTCATGAGAAGCTCATGTAGTACAGGCAGGCGGTTATACTTACCGTTGAGATATACGGCTGTGTTGATCCGCGTGCCTTGGATCTTGACCTTGATCTTGAGCTGGCCACCAGAGAACCCTGGAGTTGGGTGATACATTTGCTTGAGCGTGAGAGTACTTGGTCGAGCCTCTGGGTTGAGCGTTGCCCTCGCGACCAGGTCGCGGTCGCGTAGGTCCTCCTCAATGCCGGCGATGGCTTCGGGGGTCAGCCATGTGAGGCGTTGGATTTCGAGGACTCCATGAAAGCGCACTGGGACCTTCTGTACCTCATACAACTCCTTGTTGTACTCGGGCTGGAACTGTTCACATTCGTCTAGGCTGCAGAAATGATTGTTGAGTATGTTGATTGCAACCTCCTGTGACTTCATGCGTACCCTGTGATACTGCCGTTCCCTTCAAGGAGAAGGCATTCCAGCGCCACGATGTTCCTCTGCGTTGTGTTCGGCACGGTGGTCGTCAGCGCGTCTTCCTCGAGAAATGGACCGAAGGGCTCATTGATGAGGTCAGAGAGGCGTACACTCATCTATACCTGCTACGATCGTTGAAAGCTTGCAAAGCTAAGTCGAATAGCCAGACATAGCTGCTGCTGCTGCTGCTGCTGCTGCTGCGGCAGACAATGGTCAGCGTTTGTCGATTGTTACGTTAGCTTTCCAGAAACGAATATCAAGAAGGGTACCGCAAATGGCACCTAGCTCTTCCAGCAGGACATCGCACATGACCTAATCGAGGCTTTTATACTACCCGTGAGATTAATCCATGGCATCGCTGCAATTCGTCTCAAGGGCCATGTATGAGTAGGACACTCGATGAGCACGATTGAGATCACATGTAAATACAGTGTCGGCCAGCAATCAAACTCCGAGATCGTGTCTCCGTGACCAGATGAACGATTATAGATCACAGAGACACGCGGAGAGACCGGATGCAAGTCAACTAGCTTCCTCTTTGATTCTATCGGGTTCAGGTCGCCTGTCATCAACTTTGACGTTTCTGAACTGTGTCGGGCGAGGTTGGCTAGACGAATATCTCCAACGGAAAGCATACTGCATATAGGAAAACAAGTTAACAATTTGTGTACATGACTGAGAAAAGTCGGAAACAACGAAGACTCACACGGTCGCCAACCAGGTCAACGTCAATGCCTGCGTCATTGAAATGCCAATGATGGTGTCTGTCGACCATGTATGCAAACGCCTCACGGGCCCAGGCATCGCTTCTTGACCATTGCTTTCTCCGAAACCGCTGCTTATCCTCTTCCGTGATATCCTGATGGTCCATGTCTTCGTCCGTTAAATGGAAGAGGTCGATGACATAGGAGCAGTTTTTCCAAGGACATGTCCAAATCTGTAGTGAATTGACATTTGGAGGTTGCCACAGCTGCGAAGGAAGCAGTGCTAATAGATCGGGGTCGACTGGCGTGCTCGGGCGCCCGGGGCTGCTCACTGGGGAGCCGAGGGTGGTGGACTGAGGTGAGAAGTCTGGGTCATACGTGCGCAGCATCGCCTCGTCCACTTTTCTGCCATGGGTCGGATACGGTAGACGAGCGTCCACCGCCATCGGCGAAGGGGAACGGGGGCTGACCTGCCGAGCGAGTCCTCTCTGTCATTCCGATCGCGTCAACAACCTGCAACCCCTACGCCGCGTACAAGCCTACCACCTTGCTTCTTTCCTTGTTGACTACCTTGCGTCCAGTGCTGCATTCCGGAGGAGAGGAACGGCCGTCCGCCACCCTGGCGTCAGCCGAAGCGAACCAGAGAGCCCAGACCCTCAGGTCGAGCCATTTGCCGTGTTTCCGTTGCTTCACTTGATCCATGACCCATTGACCGTGCTGTTGGATGAGCGAGAGGACTTCTTCCTGCGAGACGGAACGGGGACTATGCTCGCGGCCACGCTTCAATCTTCCGTTGGCTCCAGGCTCGATATCCGAGTCTGAGTCCGAGTCGTAGATGGGACGCTGCCGACGTTGTTCGAAAGAGTACGCTCTGTGTCGCAGATAGAGCTCTGCAAACCATTCGGGGGTGCGTCCAGCCAGAGGCGTCTTGTTGTCACTCCACGACTTCCCAGGGCCCGCGTCGATCCCTAGGAGTTTCTGCAGTTCGTGCAGCAGCCGCCATCGAGCCAAATACTGTGGGATGCTCGGGATGTGAGCGGAAGTGAGAGAACAGAGGGCTTACTTTTCGGCTGCGCTCGTAGGTTTCGATATGTAGCGAAGCGACTTCATATCTACGAGTGCTTCTGGATGCGCTCCAGTCTGAGCTGTCTTAGAATGCAAGGACGCCAATCAATTGCACCGACCGAGCCACTAGCATTAAGCCTTTCGGAATGTGGATGGCTAGAGATCAAGATCAGCATCAATGCAGATACAGATGGGCTCTAGCAATCCAGGAAGTGCAGAGTTCGTTGGCTTGCTCACACTGTAGGTATGAAACGGGCATCCACTTCTCCCCTCGAATGATTACTCTGATTTTGAGGCCAAGGTCGAAGGAGAACCAAAAGTTGAGTTCCTCGGCATAGTTTCGGCCTTGGCTGTCGGGTAGAGCATTTCGGTGGGTGGCGATACGAGCGACACGATCTCGTTCCTGCAAGGCTCCACCTATCGTGTCGATTGTTTCGGGGGAAAGCCACTTGAGATTGCTAATTTCTAGGACGCCGGTGAACGTCACATGTCTGCAGCGTTCCAGGTCATACTCCGGCTGGCATGGTTCGCATTCATCGAGGCTGGAACGGAAGGTGAGCGAGTTATCTTTGTTTGTACTGGGACTACGCATACCCTACAATCTCATTGGTGCCTTCTAGCTCGAACTGTACACAATCCAGGACGAGCGGATTTTTTACGGTTGTGTTGCGCACGTCGCTAGTGAGCGCATGTTCCTCTTGAAATGGCCCGAAGGGTGCGGCGAGCAGATCTTGGTTGAATATGGCTGATCTTTGGGACATGTTGGGCTCGGCACTGCCGGGCCTTGCGGCGGTCGAAGTCCGGTTGATGGAAAGGAACGGCCGCTGCAGCGACGGCGCAACCCGGTGGAGGCACGTGCTTTCCCAAAACGGACATGAGCATGGACGGAGCATGTAGCAGCGATGCCAGGAGTGTCTGTCTCGACCACGAACAACCTACCTAGTCCACCGTACTTTCCTTCATGACGGTCGACTCGAGCGACCCCACCATCTCTATACCCATTGGCATCACTATCGGTCTTCTCGCGTCCTTCATTCAATCCCTCGGTCTCACAATCCAGCGTAAGAGCCATGTACTGAATCAAGCCCTGCCGGAGCAGCAGCAGAAGGTCGAGCACCGCAGACCGTACGTTTCGTGCCCTCCCGCGCTCATCTCCGTTGCTGATTACTCTGTAGGCTGTGGCTACTTGGCTTCGGTATGTATTAACCTGCTCCTTCATGTGCCCCTGTCATGTTCTCATACATACTTCACAGCCATCTTCCTCTCCTCCAACCTCTTCGGCTCTCTGGTACAGATCGCCTCCTTGCCCGTGGTCATACTGGCCCCGCTTGGCGCAGTCTCTCTCCTTTGGAATGCCTTCTTTGCCCGGCTCCTCCTCGGCGACGTCTTCTCCCCATGGATGATTCTTGGCACTCTATTAATCGCCGGCGGCGCCATCCTCATCGCTGTTTTCGGCATTGTACCCGAACCGACACACTCCATCGAAGACTTGCTGCGCCTGTTTGATCGTCCTGCGTTCATAGCGTACTTCTCGTTGCTTGGCTTCGTCGGATCAGTCTGGCTGGCAACTGTACGTAACTATGCCGCCTGACGGTCGCGTGCACACTGAACGTTTACAACAGGCCCATGCAGTGGAATATTACTATTATCGTCGGTACAAGCCGGTGGACATCAGCCCTCCCCTGTCTCCCCTCCTAGTACCTAATGCCGCACCCTCCATCTTGACTACGGCTACCACTGCGAACCATGCGCTCGACCCGACGTCTCCTACCGAACGTACACCGCTCATTGATCGCAAGCCCCAACCTCGCTCCAAAACTCCTTCTCCATCACCTCCTGGTTCCGTGGTCTCCATGATTGCTAGCCCTCTTTCCTATGCATCGCGGTCTCCGCGCACACCTCTCTTTCTCGCCGCTTCTTATGCGTCTATCTCGGGAATCATCTCTGGGATGTGCCTAATCTTCGCCAAGAGCGGTGTAGAGCTGCTGCTACTCACTCTCGGAGGTGACAACCAATTCTGGAGGTGGCAGGCGTGGGTTCTGCTGCTTAGCTTGATCGTCTTCGCCCTTTTGCAGCTGTGGTACATGCACAAGGGCTTGATACTCGCGGATCCCACCTTAGTCTGCCCACGTGAGTACATGCGCTTCCTTCACAGGTCATTCCTGACACTCAGCCCTATCTAGTGGCATTCTGCTTCTACAACCTATCTTCCATCGTTAATGGTCTGATATATTTCGATCAGTTCTCGTTGTTGTCCACCACGCACCTACTGCTTGTTCTCCTCGGCATCGTCGTGCTCCTCGCGGGAGTCTATGTTATCAGCTTCCCGCCCGAGGGCGGCCGAGGCGTCGACATTGGCACCTGGACCGAAGAAGAATCAGCCACAGAGCTCGTCAACACGGGCGAAGAGAGCGACATCGAGGCTCAGGACGTTGAGATCTACGAGGACGAGCCCCTCCCAATGGGGAACGAGGAACGCCCAGGATCCCCGCGCGGCCGCACACAAACGCACGGGCTGGGGCTACAGGTCATCACCGAACCGCCCGCCCCCATCGTAGCCCCTCAGCTCTCGCCACGCCCACCGAGCCCCAGCCCACGCTCATGCGTACGCAGCCCTCTATCTTCGCGCGGACACGGCCGGCAACAGACCGACTCCGCATTGCTTACATCCACCTCGCGACACTCGCGCTCGTCCTACACCGCGAGCACAGGCGGCCCTGCGGGCGGTGATGCCACCGCCACGTCTGACGCGCACGCCAGCCCTGGCACCGCCGCTCGCCGGCGGCGGCGGACCACGCTCGAGCCAGGGTCGTCGCTCAGCCCGAACGCGCAGCATCCGCTCTCGCCCAGCGCGTCCGCCCTGGGCGGCTTCTCCATCGGGTTGTCCCCGATAAGCCCCGGGTTCTCCATCGTGCCCCGCGAGCGGCGGAGGCGCCCGAGCGCGCTGCCCGCGGTTGGCTCGGGGTTGGCGAACAGCGTGCATGGCGGTTATGGCGCTGCTGATGTGCCCGCGAGCCCGACGCCGCTTCCGCGCGGCGCTGGGGGGGCCAATGGGGGCGACGCGCAGACCGCCCTGGGGGCGGGCGCGCGACGAGTGCCTTTTGGAGTTGGGTGGAGGATGCGCCGCGTCGTTAGTGAGGGGGATGCAGAGGGGCAGAGGCGAGGGCATGCTGCTGCTCCTGCGGGTCAGATAGAGGGGCTGCCGGAGGGCACCGACCGGGATTTGGAGTGGGATGCTGAGCGGGGGGGCGCGGGGACGGCACAGGAGGAGGAGCAGGGCTCTGGGGGCGCCGGACGCCGGGCGAAGGCAAGGTGGAAATGGCTGCAGACCGTTGCGGAACGCGTCGTAGGTGGTGGGGGCCAGGATTCGGGATGAGGGAGACGGACGCGGCGCCGCGGCGGTAGCAGCTTGCTGTAGTGACGGCTGGACATTTTCTTGAGACTAGCACTCACTTGCATATACGATACCAAACTACGGTTCCCGCAGGCGACAACTGGACCCTGAGGTGGAGATAAGTACGAGACATGCTCGCTCACCGTTTTGTGCTGTGTGCGGGCGGATGTTGACGTCTGAGTGCTAGCAGGTTCTGGAGGTCCACATCAGTGGCTAATATATCACTCCACAGGTTCTGTGCTCTGTAGCCTTTCCATCAGCAAATCGGCTGAGAAAGTGCAGGTGGAGCCGTTGCTGTTGCCGTATGTACACACACCCTCTAGAGCCTGGTTGCAGGAAGTGAATATGTATGTAGTGCGGAGATTTGTTGCGCAGGTGTGGTATACGATCTGCGCGCGCCTTCGCGGGAAGTCCGGAGTTTTGCGTTGTCTGACGTCCATCAGACGAGAGAGATCAATGAGCCGGGCGTTGGCCCTGTGCCGTAAAGGCTGTTTGCGGTACGCGACCGGGCTGCTGAGACAGATGAGACATGTGGGTCGACACGTCTGGCCAACAGGGTGGCCGGTCAGCCAACTGAATTGACTGCCAGGGCGTGGCCGGAGGTAAGCGGAGGGCCAGGAACTGGGTGTGGAAAGGCAATCTGAGGTGCATGATGAACGCGCCAGGTGTGTCCTGAGCCTTGCTTTCTTTACAGACGCAGCAAGTCGATGCTATGACGACGACATACGAGGCGTTGAGGTGGTAAGTATGTCGTAGAATGTGTCATGGCTCTTTGTTGGAAGCGTGGCTGATCGGGAAGAACCAAAGGAGGATGCTCTCAAACGTCGGATCGGGATTGGCGTCTAGCCACCATCACAGATCGCGATCTATTACACAGACGCGACGATGCTCCGCGACGATGAGCACGTGACCGCGTGGGGAGGAGGTGCAGGTGCGGTTTGCGTGTTATCTGTTCTCGCGGCTGCCGGTTCATGGGAGAGCTTTTGGGCTGGAGGCTGCTGGAGGGGGCATGGATGAATAGAAGCCGTGGGGAGGCATGGGGACGCTGCACACGCGTCCGAGGACGGGCGAAGGGACGGATATTGGGGCTACGTGAGAGCAGGCAGGGAGATCAAACCGCCTAATCGCGTGGGCTAGTCTGCCGCCGCTGAGCAGGATTGGCTAGAAAACAAACATTTGGAGCCTTGCGCAAGCGACTGTGCCTTCTTTTCCTTTCCCTGCGACTCCAACCTCCACCGCCAGCCGGAGCCAAGCTCTGCTCTCTTCAAGGCTGCCTCTCTGTCCTTGCTCCACCTTCTTTTCCTCCTTGCTCGTCCACTCTGCCACCTACAACGTTCCGTCTTTACCGCCTCGGCACCTCGAGCTCTCTGTGATCTCTCCCACCTCGCAGCACTCTTACACCACCATTCCTGCTGTCACCCGTTCGTGAGCCATGCACAGTCCCCGCACGAGGGCGAAACCGCCCGTGCAGCCGCTCGCCGTCTCTGCCACGCCAGGTCCACCCATCGGCGAGAAGATCTCCAAGTCTCGCTTCTCGGACGACGACGCTGGGACGAAGAACGCCAACAACAACAGCAACAACACGGGCTCGCTCCTGTCGCGCAGGACGACCGTCAAGTCGAGTCTCAGCCTGCGCTCTGCGACGAGCACGCACTCGGCAACAGCGACGGGCGTAGGGGCCAGCGCGGGGCGTCGTGGGCCGCGAGCGATTCCGGCGCCTGAGCCGATCATCACCATTTCGGGGACTGGCAGCGGGGCGACTAACAAGGACGAACCTCTGTTCGGATCCGGACACATCCAGGGACAGCTCCGCGAGCCAGCAGCGACCAATGCTCGCTCCCACAGCAACAACCCCTCCACGCCCTCCTTCCACTCCGCCCTCGACGACGAGCTCGAGTACGTCACCGTCGACCTCCCCACACACGGCCCCGTCGAGAACGCCGTCGTCCCCGCCCGCTCAGACAAGGCCTCCCGCATCCTCGGCATCAGGCACCGCCAGAGCATGGAGCCCATCCCAGGCAGCAACCGCAACTCGGTCGCCTCCGCTCGCTCTGCACCCCCCTCGGTCAGTGCGCCGCCCCCCTCACAGTCGGGCCCGACTCTGCCCCTCGCCTCCCTCTATGTTGTTTCTGGCCTCCCAAAGAGTCCGCATACATGGACCCTCGCCGACCCGGACTCGGTCATGGGCCTGCACCATAGCGAGGGGGCGGTCGGCCGCTGGTGGCGCCCTGAGGTGTTGGGCAGCACCATCAGCCCCGGCGCGGGTGGAGGAGGAGGAAAACGCAAGAAAAAGAACAAGGCCGAGGACGGCGTCTTCTCCTCGTCCGGGCACCTGAGCAAGCAAGAGGTCGGGAAAATGCTCTCCAAGGCACTCAAGGTATGTCCGCCAATTCCCCCTCGCGCCTCGCTCCCGCAGTCCCGTCAAACTGTAGCTAAATGAAACGTCACTCTAGCTCTCCTTCACGCGCGAGGTCGAGATCATCGCGTCGACCCTGCAGCCCGCGTCGACGGTGCACAACTTCACGTTCACGCTCCCCGCGCCCTCGACGCCGCTCGGGCCCAGCCCCTCGACCGACGTCCTGCGCGCCTCCGTCTTAACGACCACGACAGACGTCTCGTACGCTTACCCGTACAACGACGACCCGTTCTCGCGCCACGCCCGGCCGTCGTCAGCGTATCTCGGCCCGCCGTCCGCCTTCCTCTCGCCGAACGGCCACGGCGCGAGCGCGCGCGCGCAGGCTGAGCTCGGCTCCGGGCTGAACGGCGGCAGTGGCGGGCAGATAACCTATCACGGAGTCTGTCTGACGGTGTGGTCGCACGCGGACGCCGAGCGCACGGCCGCGATCCGCCGCACGCTAGAAGCGGGCCGTGCGAGGAAGGAGAGCGGGCAGAGTCTCGTGCCGTCCCGTCGCAGGGGTCACGCGTCCGCGTCTGACGCGCCGAGCGATCCTGCCATTCAGGCGCGTCGTCGGGCCAAGGCGAGCGCGCGGGGCCCCTGGGGGCCGGGCACGGACGCAGAGACCGACTGGGACCCGGAGACGGACGGCGAGGGGGGCGCGGTGAGCGAGAGCGACTACGAGGTCGCGAGCACCGTCGGACACACCCCCGGAGAGAGCACGCTGTTCTTGCCCGGCGACGCGGTCTTCTGGTTGCCGTACGCGTTGAGTGAGTGGACAAATTTTGGGTTTGGCATGGAAGCGGTGGGGTGAGAAGCTGAGTTGACGTCGTGTCTGCCTTCTAGCGTTGGTGTCGCGCTTCCCGATTTACGACCTCATGCGCGACTATCTCACGCTCTCCTGGGCGCGCTTCTCCAAGGACGTCCAGTCGCACACCCTCCAGATCAGCAAGATTTTGTCGCACCCGGCACCCCGCCCCGGCGAGCTCGTCCGCTTGGACGCGTCGCCGACCTCGAGCTCGTCGAACAACGGCGCTGCCGAGACGAGCCTGGAAGTCGTCGCACGCTTCCCTGGTGGCCTCGACTTCGGTCGGGGTTTGGTCGACGTCAACTTTACCATGTGGCCCGTGTTCAAGTGTCTGAATATTGACAACATCCTGACGATTTGCGAGGTCAGTCTCTCCGTTTCGCTCTGCTCTCGAAGCGCGTGCTTGACGGCTTCGTTTCGCAGATCGCCTTGGCGCCGACGGGCCGCGTTCTGTTCTTCTCGCGCCATCCTGCTATGCTCGGCATCGCGGTCCTCACTATCAAGTATCTCGTCGAGCTACGTGGCTGGAGCGGCGTCGCCTTGTCGGCCGTGCACTCCCGCGACGCGAAAATTTACATTGACGACCCGGGCCCGTGGATCATCGGCCTGGCGACTGAGTCCCGATACGCTGTGCGTCCTTCTCCGGAGGTGTGCGTCGTGGATCTGTGAGTTCCGCTATCTCCGTCGCATCGACCTGCTTCGATCGGTGTGCTAACGCGCGAGGGTTCGACGTGCAGGGACATCAATTACCTCAATTGCGCCTCTCCTCCGCCAGGCGTCGTGTCTTCCAAGCAGCAGCGCGACCGGTACCGTCAGAGGCTGCTGGCCGCCTTTGAGCCCCACTACCATCCCGACCACTGTGTTCCGAGGTACGTTGTGTGCTTCTGCCGCGAGCCGGAAGGGAATCTAACGTCATCACAGCGAATTCAAAGAGGCCTTCCCTGCGGGCAGGTTCCGCCCCGTTTGCAAGATTCAGGCGAAGCGCGGCGCCGCGTCGACGGCAGTCGCGGATATGGTGAAACCCCCGGAATGGTGGCACTCGACGCGCATCATCCAGGCGTTCGACAGCGTCCTCGCGGACAAGATGAAGAAGCCCTCGCTTCTGAAGCGCATCAGCTCCTTCGGCAGCGTGCGCACGCCCCCGCGCCTCACCGTCGCCGAGCAGCACATCCAGCTTTCCATTCGCAAGCGCGCGTCGGCGTTCGTCGACGCGCGCGACGACCTGGAGACGAAGATCGGCCGCCTGTCGCGCCGGCTGAACTTCCTGATGACCGAGTCGGACCTGTGGCGCGACAAGTTCGTCACGTTCGAGCAGTACGCGGAGAAGCTGAGCACGGAGGCGAGCGACCTGCGCGCGAAGATCAACAAGGAGCAGAAGGAGACGAAGCGGCTGTCGAGCATGATCACCATGACGGCCGCGGAGAAGTCCAAGCTGCAGAACCGTTAGTGCTCTGTTTTTGTTATTTCCGTTGCCCCTGCGTAGTTACGCTAATGCGTGCCTTGCCCCTACCCCGCTTCTTCGCGCGTGCTAGAACTCAGCGAGACGGAGCAGGCCCACAAGGCGGCGTTGGAGGAGTTGGAGGCGATGCGCGAGCAGATGGAGCGGATGGAAGAAGAGCGCGCGGAGATGATCGCGGAGGTCGAGGCGCAGATCGAGCGCGCCCTCGCGCACATGGCCGTCGACGTCGACGACTCGGACTACGGGGGCTCGCGGCCCAGCAGCCGCCTGTCCACGCGCTCGGCCCCGAGCGCCAGCGGGGGTGCGCACCGCCGTGGCAGCGACGCGCGGGCGCGGCCGCTGCGCTCGTTCAGCACGGAGTCGACGCTGGCCGAGTCGTTCGCGAACGGGGACGACCTGATCAAGACGGAGAGGGTGACCGGCACGCTCGTGGAGGTGGACGAGCCGGAGTCGGACGAGCACCTGCAGGTGGCGGAGAAGAAGGCGAAGCGGTTCTCGGCGGGGGCCGAGGCGGAGCAGCACGACGGCATGAAGGCCGTCGATGAGGGGATCAGCCAGAAGAGCGACAAGATCGCGCAGAAGGTGCTTCAGATCCAGCGCAAGGTTCGTGTCGTGTTTATTATGTTTTGTTGGCGTGCCTGCGGCTGATCGGGTTCGTTTGTAGCTCGAGTCTGCGCTTGCGTCTGACGCGTATCGTCGCTCGCTTGAAGGTCATGCTAGTGAGAGCGAGCTTTCCGAGTCCACTCACCGGATCCGGTCTCGCCACCGCAAGACGCACAGCAGGACGCATAGCAAGAAGGATCGGAGTATTACTGATTCTCCCTTTGGTACCGGTCGCTCGACCCCAATCCGACGCGGCAGCGGCGCGACTACCGCTACCGCCACCGCCAAGGACGTCCCGTCCGCGTCCGAGAGCGAGACCAAAACCGAGGTCGCTGAGGAGAAGCCTTCGCGTCCCCAGGTCGTGACCTCGAACCAATTACTCGATGTGCGTAGGATCCCCTCCACCGCATCAATCAGCGCGATCTCTCCATCGGCCGTGACGCCCACGACGCCCTCTTTGACTCCTGGGGCTAGCGTGGTCACGGACGACGAGGAGAGCGACTTCCAGAGCGCGTACTCTACCAGCCCGCGAGGCAGCTACGGCAGTCTCGAACAATGTGGCGTGAAGGCGTATGACCCCGACGAGCACTCCGAGCAAGGCACGCCTACCAACCTCAGCGCCGCGGACCACCTCGACGAGTTCGGCGTGCGCCAGGACGGGTCCCTCAAGGGCCGCGAGCGCAACTTTAGCACGAGCACGGCGACGAACGCCAAGTACCACCGGCTCGTCTCGCGCGGGAGCGAGGACACCGTAGGCGGCCGCGCGTGAGCGTCGGGCGTCGAGCTGCGCCTTCGTAGCTATTTATCATCTTAGTTTATGTGTTAATTTCCGGCCTGCTTTCACCCAGCTTGCTAGCAGTCGTCGCCCACTGTCGTAGTACCTCCACCACCTCTCGTCTCGTAGTTCGTTGCCCCAAATTCCGATTACGTGTGTATACTTAGCTTCATTAGATCTGGTTGATCTAATAGTTCATACTCGATCGATAGTTGACGTGCTTGCGTTGCATTCGTTGCATGTTACATTGCGCTGACCGAATTCGTTCCTGATTCCGCACACCCCGGTCATCCGTATCTCATATCTCATAGATTGGTACATCTTGAATGGTACATGATCCGATTACAGTCTAAGAATGCATTTAATCGTCCACAGAAGTCGTCGCTATCGACAGCGGCAGAGCGAGAGGGAAGTGTCCGACGGGGAGGGAGAATAGTGGGGAGATAAGGGCATCTATGAGTCCATGCGTCGTCTGGCATTGAATGCCTTCACCACCGAGGCAACCTGAGAGAAGAACCATGTCTGGGAACTCTTGTCGGGTATGAAGACGAACTTGTCGTGCTGCTTCCCGCCCTTGTGCGCGAACTTGATGCCTGTGTCTTCAATTGTCACACCTTGCACCTGTGTGAACGGCAGCTCCCATTCCAGCTTGAGCTTGTTGGACCAGAAGGAGATGACCTTTGTCGTCGTTAGTAGCACAACATTGTCGCCGCCAGGAAGATCTGCGATGGTTGTCAGTGATATCACGCGAGTGCTCAGACTCATGGGATCACAAACTGATATGAGCGACGTAGGTCTCGCCGCGGAAGGCACCTTGTTCCAAGTCTTTCATCCAGTATTGACCCAGGGCTTCGCGTTCTGAATAGGGCTGGAAAGGGATCTGAGTCCTCGCCGCACTAAAATGACGCAACGCACTGCACTCACCACAAGCACACCATCCGCTGGAATCAGACGAGGCTGGAGGCGAGTGACAACTGTCAGCGGGAGCCTACAATGTCAGCTCAAAAATCCTCACCAAACGGACCCGGTCCCGATCGGGGTTGTCAAATACGGTGGTAGTGTTACGGATACCTGCAATGCGCTTGAGAAGCGAGTACAACCTAGCTTAAAGGAGCTCTTACCTGCGCCGACGTTGGAAGCCAAGTCGAACACTCCGATGACTGGTTTCGTGACAGCGCTGCTGCATGCGTCAGTTGATATGGACTTGTTCAATTGGCGACCCCAAACGCACCCAATCAACCCCTTGCCCATGCCCTTGAAGAAGCCCTTGGCTCCTTCGGACTCTGCTCCTTCAATTGGCTTCAACTGGGCGACATCAGTTGGGTCACAGAGGGCCACAGAAATACAAGTGCTCATCACACTCACAACGACTCCTTCGACACCACTGACCACGCTGCTTGCAAACGCCTCAGCACCGGCAGCAACACCGTAGCTATAGGCCTGTGAGCATGTCTAATCAGCACGGTCTGTGATACACGCACATGGCATGTCGAGGTCGGTTCCGTCTCTGGTTCATCCTTCTACGCAGCTGGTACTCAGAATCGAAAGTTGTCGCCGACAGGCCTAAACGACCGCATTATCAACCACGTGTGCATGCAGATGTAGTGTGTGGGCATACCTTTCCCGACGCTACTGGTGAACTTTGTGAAACTGTCAGAGACCCCAAACACTGTCTTCTTGACAAAGCTCGCAGCACCCTAGATAAAAGAACGTTCAAGCTGCCGCTCAGAACGCACCATGCGGACGGCTAACCTTCGCTATCCCAATGCCGATATCCTTGTTACCATGCATGACGACACCATTGAACGGCTCATAGAAGATGTCGGCGACACCAGAGCTGACGTTAGTGAAGAGGCCGACAGGGTTTCCAATGAAGTCCGCGGAGCCCAGGATACGGTAAAGCTGTCGTAGAACTTCTTGGCGATAGTGATGCGTGATTCGATTCAGGAGGTCTGGTAGGGTCAATCGCATGTCCTTGATAGCAAGAGCGTTCATCTCCAAAGGTGCGTCGTTGACGTTGCCGATAGCCATTGTGATTGCATTGAGTACCACAGCCGCGGGATTGCGCAGCATGAGTCTTAATATATCGTGTAAGCCCTTGTGAGGACCATGCCATGGGTGATACGACTCACTGATCCTCGCTGCTGATCCGTTCTGTGCGCATGAATGATATCGACAGCTTGATGGGCTGCAATTCAAGGACTTCGAAGTACAGGTCGAGCCCAGAGCTCGTCTCTTGGGGCTCCGGAATGTCTTCGGGATTCTCGAATAGAACACTGCAAGAGAATGAGTGGATGCGCTTTTAAACGACACCTTAGGCTTACTCTTCCTGAGCGACGTCCCAAGATGCACCCTTGATCTTCGTTAGGTCATACAGTGCGAACAAGAAATCTTCGTCGGCTTCTACTGTTAAGGCTTGCAAAAGCACGGAACAGTACTTGATAAAGAACACGCCGTGCTCTAACACAGACAATCAGCCCACGTTTATACAAGACTCGTCAAGTCTCACCTTGATCATTCAGCCAGATGAAGGACGCCTGGACAGTGGGAAGTGCTGCGACGCTCTTGGACTCTTGCGTGATCGGTGTGGGTTGAAGGAGTACAGGGAAGAGCGCATCATGCAATTGGTTGTCGATCTGCAAATTTCCAAAGGACAGCGTGACAGACTGTGCGACCGGATTGCTTGCGTACTCAAACTTGAGGGCGTTGAGGGACGTGTACACCACTTCGACCATCTGCTTGTTGATCAGGGAGACACCAATACCGTGCAAGTCCAAGGCCACGGTTAACACAGGAGCCACGGTCTCTTGAATAGCTTCGAACGCATCCTGACTGCTGCTCATCGAATCCTGCCGGGTTAGCGAAGCAGTACTGCGGCGCCGCGGCTTGTAAAGACTGAGCTCCGCATTGTAATTGCTGATGCGCAAGACTTGCTTGGGACCATCCGCCCGCACATCCAACGAGACAATGCGCGTTCCACGGCTAGTCTGTGTGTACTCGAGATGCAGCATCTTACCAATACCAGTAGTCAAACAACTTACAGCAGCTCTGAAGGGCACGAGATCGCCGATCTCCATGATGTCAACGTCACGGCGAGACCCATTCACGGCGAGAATGATTTTCTTGTCTCTGGCAGCCGGATAGTCCCACGCGTAGTCAATGCTGTTCTTTGGTGCCACAGTATATGAAGGTGGAGGTTTGGCTCCTGGGCCTGCGTTGAGACGAGCTTGGTCCTACAACAAATGTCGGCTATGGGGATGTTCCTGAGTTAATGACACAAGACACCTACTGTCTGGTGGATAGTGAAAGTCAGGTCGCTCTCGTTCTCGATTTTGAACGGCCATCCCTCAGTCGCCTCGTCCAAGAACACGAAAATCGTAGGCCCTTCAATCTTGATATCCGCGCGCATCAGGCGAATCTGTTGACTGTCTTCCGACGCAGGAAGGCGGAAGTGTATCGTGCCTATATCCTCCAAGTTGATCGGGGCGGACCTGATCCCTGATATCAGCACATGTAAGCGTCCTTCATTTCTTCTGATAGCGTACCATTGTGCATTGAGACCAGGAAGCGCCACTGTCAGTAACTTATCCTCCCCAAAACGTAAGACGTTTAGAGGACGGCGCTCTCCGGGTTCCACCGCCGCGCGATCGCGAGGAGCCACGCCATGCTCCCGTATCGCTAGAGGCTTAGAGAAGTTGTTCTTGACGATAAACCGCGGCGCCAGAGTGATCACTTTCGTCAGCTTGTACTTTCCAAGTCCCTCGGCCCATGATAACCCTGTGTGAATCTCGTCTGATCTGTTCTGTTGGTGGAGCATGACGAGTCTGGTCTCCGCTCTAGGTGCATCGAGGCTGATGCCCTGTGAAGTACGTGAGTGGATGTGTGCCTACCATGAGAGATGACAAATGGCTTACCTGGGACCACATAGACTCGCCGATTTTGAATGAGAAGTCCTTCCCGTTGTCCGTAGGATGCGACAACACTGCACCATGCTGATGTTAGCACTTTGATCGCTACACAACCTTCATACACGTACTGAATGGAAGCGGCTTCGCGAGAATATCTTGCATGCACAGACCTATGTCAGTGAGGGGCGCACCTTACTTTGTGAACCTAGCTTACCCTCACGGGTCTCTCCAGCAATTTCTGACGGCGCACCCACTCGAGTTCGCGAAGGGCGCACACCAAATGGCAACCCAGTCTTGTTGAGCACTATGTACGGGCTATAGACCTGGACCTTGAAAGAACCACCCGAGTTGGGGTAATGTCTGTGAAAGTGATCAGAACGCATGATATTGACATACAGCAAAGGACGTACATGTAATTTAACTTTAGGTCCAACCTACGCCCTTGGGTGTCTCTCAGGACCAGTTTGCTTTCGACATCGAAGTCGGAGTTGCCGTCGGTGTTGATGATAGCGAAGTCGCTTGGCTTGAACACTAAGGGACGCTCAATATATATACATCGCCTTACGACCGCGCTCCTCACCTGTGTCCTGGACATGAATATTGAGCAGAATGAGATGTCCCAGTTCAACCGAGTGGACTGGCATGATTCCTCCCTTGCGCAGATAACTCCTCCAGTTTTGGTCGGTATCCTTGTCGTAGATGCGATACTCGAGGTTGTACGGCAAGAGATTCTCGAGCTCAATCGGTGCTCGGAGCTTAAGCGAAATACGGGGAAGTTTACTAGCAGACCATGAGTTGGATAGCTAAGCAACCGAAGATTCATTGCAATGCCTCACCGAGATGCGATATCATTTGCATCTGCCTCTGCCCATGCCTGGAACCTGAATGCGGCCTCGTTCTGATCAGTATGTGGACAGCGGAGAGTAAAGCCACGCTTGGCAATGAGATCCTCCCATCGGACAGCCGGAGACCACTTGTAACCGAAGCCCTCTGCGACAAACTCGATTATCCCCCCTAATACAGAATCCTAAACGCATGACTTACGATCAGGCTGAACCCTCACGCGGCATTGGTTCACAGCCTCGAGGGGGAGGGCATAGTCTTGACCCGGGACTAGAGCGAAAGGCAAGCACATCAGGTGGGTATGCCACACCGATAAGAGGGCCACCTACCGATCTTCTCGACCGCATACACCGGCTGGCCAGTCTCATCCACCAAGGTCAACTCAAGCGGGTAGAGCGTGTTGTTCTCGACTTTGTACGTTGACCGCAAAACGACAGTTTTCGCGTTGCCTTCTACCTTGACTTCACAGACAAGACGATGTGCGTATTTTCCCGTGCGTGGCCGCAGCGAGAACGTGTACTCTCCTTCTCGGTCTACCGGAACGCTGCGGAGATGTTCCCACTGCTTACCCACGATCTGTACACCAATGCTGTTGTGTCCACTCGACGAGACATGCTGGGGATAGTGAGCTGATGAGTATCAAACGATGGCGAACTACAACTTGTACTTACTTCTCGCATGGTCTTCCAATCGTCAAACCGCCAGTCAATCGTCTTCCCGTTTGGAACTTGTTTGGCAGCGGTGTCTTTGGTGCCATTGCTACCCTCTGTGTCAGACCAGATGAACAGCGGGTACCCCGTTCGATTCCAGATCTTGTATGGCGCATAGCTGCCACGCGCGTTCTTCAAGACCTGCTCTCCTTCTGTGCCAAGCATAGACGCAAACGCCAGGACTAGCTCGACAAAGCTCAACGTCACGTTGACATCTAGGCGCTGATTCGCGTTGACAGAAACCTTGATGCCACTCGATGGGGTCTCCTTCGCAACCTGCCTGATTGTAAGCATGATGTTGCGTTTCCTCTTGTATGGTCACATACCGAGGCGGTGAACACCCATGGATCAATAACTATATCCTGTTGGTGAGCACAGCATGGAAGAGAGCTCATGCAAGGACATACGAGGTTCCCAATGCGAGTTTGCAATGTTCCAATAACTGATGTGCATCGAGAGCGTTGACATTGCTTGCAGCTGAGAATAAAATTAAGGGGTAGCCAGCCCGTCCGAGCTTGCCTAATCTTACCTCTCCGGACCAATCTTTTGCCCCAAGAATGAAAGGCTTGATTCTCAGATGCAAGAGCGGTTGTTCGTGCAGATCTCCAATGAGGACAAGCCGGAATCCCTCGAATGAACCTTTGAACTAGCCGCATACTATTAGGTGGTGCTAGTCACGGCCAGGAGTATCGTACTGACCTGCTCCTTGTTCATCATGACGCGTGCACTCCCGATGGGCTGTGCACGGGAGGTTGTAGGTCGCGAGATCTTCCTTGACGTCAATCCTGGTCGAGTAAGAGTCTTGTCGGGTTCTGACTCGTCCTGCGACTGGATCGATTCGCCGTAAAGGTCAATCGCTTTGTTGACAATGGTCATGATGAGCATAATATCCCGGTATGAAGCACGGAAGACAACGGGCAGCGCAGTAACTTCAATGCTGGTGGAGTGATGTGCTTCCGAAGCCCGACTGTCCAGGGTGAAAGTGAGGTCCAACTCATCGAGGAACCGGACACTCTCGGCTGGCTTCCCCATGCGCGTAAGAGACATGCCAACATGGTTTACGCTCACCGCGAATACCCCCTGCATATTGTTAGATTTCCATCACAATGCAAAAGAGCGCAGTGGCCTACCTGCTGTGAGACAAGCAGCTGCTTGACGGTCAAACGAATTGCCTGCGATTCGGCATTCGTGTCGTCCTCGAGGATACTAACTGAAGCATCATGCAAGTCGATCCGGAAATCGAGGCTACTGGAAGTGGACGTCGTCTGGGTCTCCGGGCTCGAGACACTTTCAGTCTCCGTGTCGGGATCCCCATTCTGAGCGATGAAGGCGCTCGTGAAGAACTCGAGCAGTGCTATGACGGGGTCGACCGCGAAAATAACTTCTGGAGAGTCGATAGTGACCACAGCAAGGCTCTGACTCCCCTGACCACCAGACATGGTATAAAGCAGCATGACTTGGTTGCGTTCATGTTGTGCGGCTGGCATGATCTCCCGGAATTTCGAGTTCCCAGGACGAGTATTGCTCATCGTCACAGATTTCAACACAATCTGCGCCTCGAGAGCACCGTCGGACAGCGTCTTGAGTCGGAGACTATTGTCGTTCAAAGCGAACCTCGCTATGCCGTGCTCCTTCACATCCTCCGGGGCCGTTGCCGATGCGTCGTACAAATGCAACTTCACGGCACCAATCGTTACAACAAGATCCAAGGAAGTGTATGGAGGAGCTTCTCCTGACGAGGAGTGAGCGGAAATTTCGGGTCGAAGGTCAACCCCCGCGACTGCGTCGGTGGTCTGTTCGCGGGCTTGGCTGTCAGACACGGGCACAGGGGAGGGTAGCTGAGGAGAATCCAATTCGACTTCTGAGACGTTTGCGAAGACCTTTGGGATGGACTGCAAGAGAGCAATGAGAAGGCAATATTGGGTCTGCGTCAGGTGAAGTCGGACGTCGGAGATCTTGACGGCAACCTACAAACAGACTGATAAACAGATTCCCTGCATGGGCATGATGGGGTGAAGCTCACTTGCACAGCCGGGTAATCATTGTCTTTTGACCGGTCGATGTTGACCTTCTGAGTGACCTCAGCGTCGATGTCGATGTCGTCAACCATCTTCAACTCCGCACGCCGGTTATCGTGATACAGCTGGGACGCGAGTTGTATGCCATGCAGACCCGCAGTGATGCGATTGTCGTCGGTATTGTACTCGTTGCGAGCACTTAGAGCACCGAGACGAAGAGTAAGAACGTCCACAGAATGCTGAGCATCAGACGGAAACACAATGATGGGCGTGCTAATGGAGACGTCGAACTTCATGCGTTCGATCTCAGAAGCTCGCTGTACTGCAACCTCAGTCGCTGCATCGTACAAGCCTTTCAGCTTGGCAAGCTTCATGAGGAAGGCATACGCGTCATGAAGGGTGTGTTCCAGGTAATGGACCTTCAGCGAGCCTGTTTGCAACGAGAACGATGACTTTACACTAGGGTAAGTCTCGTGATCGGAGGGATCGTAAGTCTGATACGTGAAGTCGGCAAAGTTGTCCCCTTCGATGGACAGAATCCGTTTGAAATCGGGAGACGCAGTGTTGATCGAGGAGTCGTCGTTCAAAGCGAGGCTCCCTAAACGCCCGTTGATGCGCATCGTGTTCGACCGGAGGAGGATGGCGACATAGGCTGTGGACAGAGATAGAGTCGCGATCTGCACATCATCATTGATGAGGTTGACTAGCTGGCGTAAACTGGATGAGTCTCCCCAAAGCTTGCAGTTCAGACATACCTTGGATACTGGCGAGGGTTAAGAGAACCCGAATCTTTTGCGCGGAGACACCAGACTCAACTACAATTTCTGGCGGGCCATTCTCGCCTTCCGGTGAGTTCGGAGGCGTAGTCTCGATCTGTCCAGTCTGGGGGACAAAGGTGGTCATGATGAAGTCATAGACTGTGACGACTGGTTCCGGAGCAGCCCGGAACAAGAAGGTCGAGATCTTCATGTCGACGTTCTGGTCAATGCCCTCATAGACCGGCTGGAACTCGGGCGAAGCCTGCTGAACACGGGTGTATTTAAAGATGAGCAGATCCTCGTTAGTGGGTCCAGTTGCCGAGGACATGAACTCGAGCGGATCCTTTCCGACTTGATTGATGTGCATTAAGACCGACCTATTTTCAAATAATTCAACCTTTGGCTTCCCACTCCGGGCGTTTTAGGGCCATACCTCAAGTTGACGCCAACCTTCATGACGTACTTCTCCATAGCATACTCGAGACCGAAACCTTGGAACGCGACATCTCCTAGGGGCTTCTCCGAGCCATCCTGAGCGGACTTATAGAGCGACGCACGGAGCGTGTCGACCTTGAAGTTGACCTCGACCACATGCTGATGCAGAGCGGGACTCTACCTTTCTAGTCAGTATGCTATTGGAGATTCATGGCATAAGACAATACGTGCTGTTGCTGTCCCAGGATCTGCTTCGAAGAATTCTGACTCTTCGTCTGCTTCGTCTTGCTCTGGTAGCCCTTGCTTTGATGGTGACGTGACAGATTCGTGGTCCTCATCGTCGCTCTCGAGCGCATAGTCCTCCGTCGACGCGCCGAAAAACCCGGCAGGCATCTTGAATGCCGCTGAAGCGCGCCGCTGTGTATCGGACGGGCGTCGCATGGCGTAAGCTTGGGGCTCTTCCTCGTCATCGAAATGGGGTATCGCGACGTCGATAAGCCGCATCAGCGCCTTGTACTTCGTATCTGACATGTTGACCTCCAGCGTCGGAAGGTGACCGGAAACCTTGAAACGGGCTAGGTTGTACGCAGTCGGCACGATCGAGTTCTGGACCTGGAGGTCAATATTCGTGCGCTCCAGAAGGTGCAGGTTGTCGCGGTCTTGTGACTTCAGTGCTTTCATGCAGGAATTCAGATCGTCGCCGATGAGGAACTACGTCAAGTGGTTACGGTCAGCTGGTCGGAGGTCAAAGCAGCTCTCGCCCTACCTGGGCTGCCTCCAGCTGGACCTTGAGACGGTCGTACATCATGGACTCGAGATGCTTGTAGTCAGCTTCCGTATACTGCTTCTTGCGTTTCAACTGAATCTCGCGAATGGCCTCCTTGCTCGCGAGCTCGCTGACAATCGAAATGTGACCCGCATCGACGATCAAATGCTTGCAGTGGGTGGTCGTGACACTGCGTAAAGTCCATGAGCAAGCTACGCACGACGCCGGCCCTGCTAGAATCAACGTACTCCTCCGGGACAATGATGATTGGTGCATTAAGGTCCATCTGTACGTCGACGGTCTTGTGTGTCTGCAGAGCGTATTCCAAACCTATCCTCGTCTCCTTCTGTAGGTTCTCGAGCGTTTGACTGGCCGCATCCTAGGACCAAGTTGAGTACGGGGCCCACGTGGTCGAACGCTCTGCGTACCAAAAGAGCTTCAACAGACTCGAGTTGACTAGCAGGCGGCTTGAAAAACTTGTACACTGCCTCAACATAGCCCTTGTGGTAGACGATCTCCATGTATCTCATGCGAAACGTCAATGCGTTGTCCGCACGCCCATCGAGAGGATTCTGTTCGAACTTCAGGAAGAAAAATGGATCAGGCAGTTCGGGGATGCTATGATTCTTGTCGTCGACCGGGAGCGTCTTGACAATCTGACTATGACTGCGCTTCTCTTGCACGTGGACGATGAGCGGGTACGCTGTGTTCGTCGTCGTGCCATCGCGGACAGCAAAGCCGCCTAGGGACAAGGACGTCTCGAAGTTGTCCTGGCGTTGCAAGAACGTCGCCTGGAAGACGTCGAAACTGACCGAGATGATATCGCTATTGGTGCCGTGGGGGTCTGTCTTCAGCGCGAACGACCCACGGTTGAGCTGCGCCTTGACCCGCGCCTTCAGCGCGTCACGAGGGGTGTCGAGCGACTCCGCCAGGGCAGCCTTTTCGTCAAAGTCAAGTGCCTCATAGAGCTGCTTTCGCTGCTCGTCCGTCATCTCTCCGGTGAACGCGGTCTCCTCGGTGCTGGAACCGGAACTGTCGGTAGAAGAAGATGAACCCCAAAGCCACGAAGACCACGAGCTGCTATTCTGCGGCTGGCTCTCCTTCCGCTCTTCCTCAAGCTTCCTGCGTGTGGCCATGTCCTTGCGGAGCTGGGACCGAGCTATAGAGCGGTAGAAGCGGAGATCTTCGTAGGAGAGCTTCCTTTCCAGGGCATCGAACAAGCCCACGTCCTGCAGGCACGGCGTGAGCATCGTTCCCGGAATAGCTCGCCTATACTTACCGTGCCTGTCAAAGAGCCCAGCTGCTTCTTTTTGAATAGGTCAACATAGCGCAGGCGATCGTCCCGCCGCTCCGCGAAGTAAGCCCACGTCCATTTCCGCTTGCGTTCCCGGACTTCATCCAAGATAGCCGTGGTAGCGAAGTTCAAGAGGGCCTTGGGGCGATTGCTCTGAAGTTCCTCCGCGGGTGGACGGTATTTTTGGTACTGTGTGAAGTCATGACATCTATTTTCTGGTCGCGTGAGTACAGTTTAAAGCTTACCTGGTGCTGCCGGATGTAGAAGTGGTACATGTCGACGAGCGAGATTGCATCTCGGTACTGGTTGTCATCTAGGAGGACGCCGATCTCGTCGAACGAGAGTTGTACGTCAAACCGGGGTGTCTCCTTGTCCAATTTGTGGTTCATTGTGATCTGCGCGCACTTAGGTCATGAGAACCCAAACTGTCGACGGACGCACCTTGCCCTCGCCCGAGACTGGCTTCAAGATGAACTGGTGGGATGCGGTCCGACTTCCTTTGGAGATCTATACCAGGATGAGTTCGTACCCCAAAAACGCCATGACGGTCATCAGGCTTACCAGAGCCGTAAAGTTCTCGACGAATTCTCGGTACGAGAGTCCGGCAAGACTCTGACAGTCTGTATCGAAGTATACAGCAAGAGATTCTAGACGCGCTAACTAGAATGAAGAGTCCAATTGAGCGTCCGTGAAGCGTGCGCAGTTCATTAAACTCTACCTTATGAACAGCGCCCGCTTTGCTATCGATGAAGGCAGGCTGCCAGTTCTCGTTGACAGATACGGCGGTGAATCCGGCAAGAGTGAGGCCAGCAGCAAATGGGTGCTGAGAAAAGTGAGTGTCGTCATCAGCTGTCTATGAGCCAGACGAAGAACAATCCACGTACACCTGGGACGCTCAACTTATCCTCGTATCGGATGTGGATATTCCTGACAGTGACCTGCAAGTTGTTGATGATCTTAGTCACCAAAGACGCAATGAGACCCTGCGACTGCGGGTTATCTGGAATACTCTCAGAATATCTTCCCTCGCGTACACTCGCGACCACCGTGCTGACCTTGAGACATGCCCGTCTGGGTTCGGACGTGCAGGAGTTCCGCGTTCTCCAAACGCTCGAATTTGGCGGCCTGTGCACGGCGCTCCTCTTCTTCGGGATCATAGGTAGATTCGGACGAAGGGACGACAAGTAGGTACACATCCTCGACCAAGACCTCCACGGGCTGGTTTCCCAAGTTCATCCAATGAAGTGAAAGAGAGAGCTTTCCCAAGTGACCTGGGCACAAAATGAGCGTTGTTGCAGTAGAGGAGAGCTTCTACACACCAACACACCATCAATGACGTCCACTGGCAGCCTGAACTTATCCAGAGCTCCCTTCTTCAACCGCAGCTTGCTGAGCGTAACCTGGCCTGTAGCGGACTATGAGACGCGGCCTAAGCGTCGTAATCGAAGGTAAGTACCTTGTCCGATACCATAGTTGACCTGGTTCATATCCAGATTCTCGACATACGGGGCGAGGACGCGGTTGAACAGCTAGCGTACGAGTTAGACATCGCCAACATCGGGGGTCGGGTTCACGCACGATATTCAACACCTCCTTCCCCGGGTCTGACCACCAGACCATGTTGGATAAACTATCTTACACGCCTGCTTTTCAGAGGGTATAGTATACAGAGACGTGCGGGATCTAGGTGTGGGAGGATGGTAAGGGATTGTTGGACTGTCCAGTGCAGCGCGCGCGACTGTGCAGTTCACGCTCGTACGTCATGGCCGCCCCCAGCACTCGGCGCTCGCGACGGATTAGCGCCCGTGAACACCTCGGTTGCCGCCGAATCGGTGCCGGTCCAGAAGCGCTGCCGGAGTCCGAGGTTAGAGTCGACTTTGTGCAGTCCGCGACGAGACTGATCTGCCCACACGCATTTTGCCTCGCGGACCGTGTTCCCAGCGCAGTCTTGTCCAGCTGCCTGCACGGCGTCGAGCGGCGCTCCGTCCTCGTATGTCGCAGCCTGTCGAACACCACAGTTCCAGTCGTGGGCGAGCTCCGCCCAGCTCGAGGCCTCGTGACGGGCCTGATATTCCGAGGCTGTGGCTGACCGTGCCAACGCGCCAGCAGGTGTATTCCTGCGACCGAGAACACGACCCCGGACCACCGATCACGTCCGTAGCCATTCCTTCCCCCGGATTCCCCCGCGACGGCTGCAACGAGGGATACATACATACTTCGCCTACATCTACCCCATAAGTACATGCTCCTGGCCCTTCCCCCCATTCCCTAGCCAGTTGCAGTGTCCCCTCATCTACCCCGCCTCTCCCCTCATCTACCCCGCCTCTCCCCTCATCTACCCCGCCTCTCCCCTCGTCTCCCCACCCTTACGGTTCCGTCATGATGTCTGTGATGCCCCCCTCTGTCCACCTGCAGGTGCACCTTGATGCCAACCGTCCAACCAAGGACGTGGAATTTAACGAAGTTGGTGTTCGACACTCTTGTCAGATCTCACGGAACACTGACCGACGCTGTTGTTACAGTTGGGCAATCTGAACGAGGCGGTGGAACCCTTCGCTCAGTGCGTTACGCCCTCCCATCATGGGTCGTGCCCCATCTGACGTCGTGCCTACCCCAGATTGATCAAGAAAAGCGGGCACTCCGTCAGGTTGCATTGCACCATCCCCACCGGCTTCCACTCCTCTCCTACCTGTACGTCTTCCTCCTCTTGCCGGTCACACGACACATCCGTGCTCACTGCTAGTACTTAGGTGCCGACCTTCACGACCTTCACGACCTACGCACTCGCTCGCTGATGTTCGTGCACAACCTCGTGGAGTCCCTCCGCGCCTCCGGGGTGAGTGTCCTCCACCCCCACTCCGTGCGCGGCGAAGCCGAACGGCATGCATATTTCTAGATCCCTGCTTCTTATCGGCTCCAGCCGGCGAACTGCTCGATGTGCCTCATCTGTGCGCTCCCTTCTGGCCTAGATGCTTCCAAGGTTAGGGCCGCTGCCTTCGCTGCTGTGCAGAACGCGAAGCTCGATCTAAAGTGAGTGGTACCACGCCCTCCTTGAAGCCGTCGTCGATTTGGGATATTGACGGTCATCGTCGTCGTTGTAGGGAGAAAGCCCTGCTCGCTGACCTTTCAGACGGCTACGCTCTCGTCCTTACGTGAATTCGATTTCCTCGTTTTGTGTCGTCGCAACTATCATGGTCCTCTCTATAATCCTGCATATCGACATGTATCTATAACCACGGCTCCTCTGGATTTCTCGATCATCTTCATGGTTTCCATTTCGGTCACGTTCTTCTGGATATAGATATCTAGGTTACGCAGTCTTGCGAACCTGGAACCTTCCTCCTGAATGCCGCTTGTGCCTCGCGCGTCCAGCGCATCATGGTACACCGCGTGATGCGCCGTCTTCCATGCATGTCTGCTCAGCTGCGTAGCCTGGACTCGCGTCCGATTGCCTTCCGTTTGGTCCGATGCTCGAGAGTTGTGTCGTTTGCCGTCATGGAACTGACGAGCCATGTGTCATGCAAATGAAGGTCTAGTTCCATTCACTGCTAGCAGCCATATAGGAGTACTGGGAATGCAGCGTCCGTGAACCTTCTCACTGCTAGCCTTGTCATCGATCATGCACCAGGGTAGTACACTCCGTGGCGACTTGCACACCATGCATGTGGACACGTGGGAGAGAGCATGCGACATTGCGTACCGATTCCGGGCTGCTGTGGCAATCACGCACTCGAAGTACGGGCATGACCAATCCAGGTACCCAAGCTCGAGGATCGTCCCGTGATAACGTGAGCGTGCCCCAGAACGCGTCGTGGCATAATGTCGGCTACGTTCATGGCTAGTGGTGTGCATGGCTGCCATGGAGAGTACAGATGACGCGCAGAACGCGTCGCGGGTCGGAGGGACGGTCTCGAGCGGAATGGAGAGCTCTGCGTGCACTGCTGACGCGCCCAGCGTCGGCGAGGCACCCACCAATCGGCCGGTACTTGGCCGGGTGATGCCGGACGCGACCCAGAGCAGCACGCGCTTGTGCGGATGAAAAACTCGGTCGAGAGCGTTGGCACCTTTCCCCCGTCGACCACGTCCTCCATGGCTCCTCTCGCGGATCTCCTGCTCTCCACCCTCCCGCTCAAGTCGCTCGGTGTCCCCCACCGGTTGACCCATTACGTGAACGGGAAGACGCCGCTGTCGACCCCGCAGGAGGTGTTCCCGACGCTCGCCGCCTACCTCGTCACCATCTTCGGTATCCAGAAATGGATGAAGAACAGGCCACCGTTCAAGCTCCAGTTCCTGTTCCGTCTCCACAACGCCTTTCTCACCGCCGGCAGTCTTCTCCTCGTTCTCCTCATAATGGAGGAGGTTGTTCCCCAGATTCACAAACATGGTGTCTTCTGGGGCCTCTGTGATGTGAAGATGTGGTCGGAAGTGAGTGACGCGCTACTGCCGGGCTCGAGGGCGCGTACTCATGCGCATACAGCGGCTCGAATTCTACTACATGATCAACTATTACTTCAAGTACATCGAACTCATCGACACGGTCTTCCTCGCTCTCAAGAAGAAGCCCCTTGGTACGCGACGCGTCTTGAATGCGGCGATAATTTACTGACCGTATCACAGCATTCCTGCATGTTTTCCACCACTCCGCAACTGCTTTGCTATGCTATACTCAGCTTAACGGCAGAACTAGTGTTGTGAGTCACACCCCTCATCGGACACGTCGACGCCGCAATTGCTCATACCCGGCGCGCAGCAATGGGTGCCTATTGCCATCAACCTGACCGTCCATGTGATCATGTGTGAGTAATCAGTTCGTTCAGTCTGCGTCTCAAATGTCTCCCGGACTCGGACTCACCGCCAAATAAGATTACTACTACTATGCTACTGCTGGTGGTGCCAAGATTTGGGTCCGTGTTCTGCGCATCAGTTATACCCCTTGCTCTGCTCTAACAAGACGTACAGTGGAAGAAATACCTCACGACCTTCCAGATTGCGCAATTCGTCATCGACCTCTTTGTCGTATACTTCGCCAGTGAGTGTCTGCCTGCAGCCACGTGTGTATTGATATACTGACTTGTGCCTTGCTTAGCATACAACTATTACGCAGCAACGTACTTCCCAAATCTCCCGTCATACGGCTCATGCGCTGGCACCGAGACCGCGGCGTTGTTTGGATGCGGCCTGCTTTCGAGTTACTTGGTCCTGTTCATCCAGTTCTACATCCAGACGTACAAGAAGCCCGCCGGCAAGAAGCCCATTGTCAATGGCAAGGCAAATGGTGTTGCGAATGGGTGAGTTGCTACAGAACGCTGTTCACGTCCGCAGACGGCGCTGACCATGGACTTTTGCAGCCACAAAACCGAGTGATTGCGTCCGTGAATAACTTACTGGCCGCAAAAACTCAGCATTCCCGTGGGTGGCGTTGTGGGCGTGTTGATACCCTAAAGCTGCAACGTCATCTGCATTGTCTGTGCGCCCGCGCTGCGTTGTGCCCCATCTGTCCGTTATACGATAGACCCTGCTTATTTGTACTCCTGTGGGCTGTTTTGGCGACGAATAAGACGAACATCATGGTGATGATGATAGATTTGCGCATCCTCTCCGCGTTGTGCCCGAGAAATGCCTCCGTTTCCGTATGGATCGTTCTCGGTCTGCGCCTCATCGATACGCTGCCGGTGTCCGGCGTCTTGCACTGATCAGCGGCGCTAGTGGCGCTGATGTCGACCGCTGGGAAGTAGTTAGTGTGCGGTTCACGAAGGGTCGAAGTCGAGCATCAGGAACGTCGGTGTTAGGTGGGAGGAGGAGATGTCACTGGCGGTGATGTATTGAGGGCATATATCAGCTTGCAGTTAGCCATATAAGGCACTGTTGGCACTCTTCGTGTGGGCGGCCAGCGCCACAGACGGGTCGGAGCAGCGCCTACAGTTCGGCCCAAAGAGGGCGGCCAGCTGCGTATCCGAGCCACTTCTACGCACTCCGACAATCCTTGTACGATTGCTATGTTCTGAGGCCAATCTGGCTGCATCCAATCTTCATCTGCCCCTTCGCCCCCTTTCTCGTTCTCCTTTCTCACTGCCCTGCCAATTAGCCCATCTTCATCACGAGCTGTGCATATACCCGTCATCAACCCGACGTCCCCGATCTTATACCCCCGCTCGGCCACCAAAGACGCGTCTTTCCCCCCGCGTCGCCCTCTGATCTCCTCCCGCCCATTCCTACTCCCTCAGGACGATTTGCCGACGTGTTTGGGCAAGAAGTGTTCCCTCGCACAAACAAGACGTCCGCTTCATATCTCGGGCGCGCCCATATCACCCTTCTCCCGACAATCTCGGCGCTCGACCGTCGACGCGACAGGACGATGGACAAGGAATTCTACGTGTCTGTGGAACTCTACGTTTCTGCCAAGGCTGCCTCAGCCTTGAGAAGGGTATGTGTCGGTCCCTGGATCTCGCTTACGACTTCCTCATGTTGACTACTTCCTCCGTGGGGTGTTAGCCGCCCACCAAGAAGGGCGCAGACAAACGCGACGCTGCGCGCGTCCCCTCTGGCAATGGGGACGCGGCGCAGAAGAAGGTGAAAGGTGCGGACGATGTGTGCGCGTGCGGGTCGAGCGAGCGCTCTCATCACGCCTCCGGGCGCACCTCCCTCCTGCAGAGAAGTCAAGCTGGCTCGGGCTTGCGCGCAGCTCCGCCGGGGCGGGGCAGTGGCGGCCGGCCAGGTGTAAACTAGTCGAGGAAGAGGAGGGATGCCTGCTGAATATTTATGTGGATGTGAGTGTGGCTATCGTCCTCGCGTCCGCTGTATGCGCTGCTGACGCGCGACAGGACACCATATTGTATCGATCTATCTACATGTACTTGCTCAACCATACAGATATTCGACCCGCGCATCGTTCGCTGTTCGAGAGGCGGAATTGCATCGCCATATTCTCCGTCGCGTGCGTAGATCCCACAGTAGCGCCGTCCGCCCGCTTCGCTTCGCTCACTTCCACGCACACAGGGGCCAGATGCGCGGCGCGGCGCCCACCACCGAGCCGCTCTACATCCAGTTCGAAGACGAGGAGATGGCAAACACCTGGCTCGCGCTCCTCCGCTCCTACGCCATGCCAGAGGTGTACGGCCGCTGGCTGTCGCCCGAGGACGGCGGGCTCTACCGCATGTGGCGCCAGGTCGACCTCACCTGCCTGCAGGGCCGCAACCTCGGCGTGACGCGCCCGCTGGCGGACGACGTCCCCGCGGCCGAGCAGGACGGGCGCCCGGAGGCGGACGCGATCGACATGGACGTCTACTGCGAGATCGTCGTCAACGGCATCCTCTGCGGGCGCACGACGGTGAAGAAGGGCATCGGCTCGCCCGACTGGCACGAGCGGTTCGTGCTCGCCGACCTGCCGCCGTTCGAGAACCTGGAGATCGTGGTTTGGAGGGAGAAGAAGCTCACGCGCCCGTCCGTCATCGGGAGCGTCACGATCGTGTTGGTGAACTTCCGGAGGGGGGACTCTGTGGAGGGCTGGTTCCCGGTCCTGCATGGCGGCCAGGCTTCCAGTACGCAGGCGGGCGAGATGCGGCTGAAGATCCGAGTCGATGAGTAAGTATGGAAGCCACGTCCCGGGAAGAGGCCTCAATGACGTTCTTGCAGGGAGATCATCTTGCCATACCATGCATACAATCGGATGTTGCGGGCAAGTCGTTTAAGTCCCCCAATAGCGATATGACGTACGCTAATGCGAATACTTCGGTTTTCTCACACAGGCATTGCATTCACGCAACCATTTGGACTGGATGCGCGAGCTGGAGGCGCGGCTCAAGATGAAGAACGTTAACCAGAACATCATGTCCATTGCGATTGCCAAGAACGCCTTGCTGGATAACATCATGGAGCTAGCGGACAGAGAAGTGGATGGCACGTTGACATGTGAGTTTGCTACAGTGTCTGTTGTCGTCGAGCAGGATTGACTATATGCGTCTTGGACCAGCCCATAATACGTTATTGTAAGTCATTGGACGTGCAGAAAGCATACGATCCACGGCATTGACAGTCCTCCGTTCCAGCCGAGGTAACACGGTCTTCACCAAGACCGTCGAACTCTATATGTCATGGTACGGCATGGCATTCCTCGAGGCGAGCGTCGGCACATCCATTCGGCGCCTCTGTTCGGAGAAGGTTGCTATCGAGGTAGATCCCGTGCGCATAGGGAAGGGCGGCAGGGCCGTCGAGAAGAACGTGGAGCTTCTCGTCACCTGGTGCCATGAGTTCTGGGACGGCATATATGACGCGAGGCGACAATGTCCTCCGTGAGTGACCGTCTCCGGTTTTGACGTGGTCACCTGCTGAGCGTATCGGATCAGTGAGCTGCGGAAATTATTCGAGCACATTCGGCGATTGGTGGAGAGCAGATACCGAGTCAGAGAGGACAGCAATCGCGAGCTTCCTTGGCAGAGCGTGTCAGCGTTCTGTTTCTTGCGCTTCATCGTTCCTGCAATCCTGCACCCTCATCTGTTCGGGCTTCTTCCAGGCATGTGTCTTCCGCTTATCTCCTCTCCACTCTCGAGGCTAAGTCACGTCGCATTCGTCAGGTCTTCCGGATGTCGCTGTCCAGCGCAGTCTCACGTTGATTGCGAAGGTGATTCAGAGCCTCGCTAACCTTAATCCAGTGAGCAGTCACCATTCTGTAACATCCAACGAGTACTCATGACCGTGATCTAGACCGTGCAGAAGGAGCAATTCATGCGTGGTGTCAAGGACTTCCTTACTGGTAGTTTGCAGGCAATGATTGACTACATCGTCGTGGTCTCCACCCCTGAGCCCGGAGGCAAGGGTCCTCCCACTCCTCTCTCCCTTTCCTCGGATAAGCACGAACGACTTCGAATAATGAATGCTCTACGGCACCGAATTGCGACCGCACCTGTCCTTTATCGCGAGGCCATACCCCTTCTTCCCCATCTGCTGGATATACCCCGACACCTCGCAGTGGTCACCTCCGTCGTCGTCCGCTACTCCAGGACGCAGAACGTTCAGCCTAGCAGACAGCCAAATCCGGAAGACAAGTACTTCCTGGATTTCTGTGCGCGTTGCATTGAAGTGGAAGAACAAGCGCTCTTCCGTGTCAGCAAGCTAGCCGCGAAGCCGCGACGACAGTACTCTGAACCAGTCATCAACGTGCCTGTACCCCCGGTCCCCTTAAGCCCCTTGCCTGCCAATCTCAGCCCTGCATCGCCATCGTCTACATGGAAACAATCCATACGTGAACGCAAGCTCTCGGCGTCCCTGATGTTGCCAACCAAGCGCTCACGGACGCGGAAGCCGAGCCGTTGTCACGGACGTTGGACAGACGCCCCTTTTTGCCGCCCATTCCCCTCCCCTTGACGCCCACCTTCCATTTTCGGACCATTTCCTTTCTTAGCCCATCCCAGTTTGGACACTGCAGATACGTTCCCACACCCGCATGCTACGTTCCCGTGATCACCATGCCTTTGCCTTTTCCTTCCCGCCCTTTGTTCTCCCTTTGTCATCTTCACTGCCTCGCTCTCGCGCCTTGTCTTTGGTTGCTAAGCAGCCCTTCTAGTATATAAGGACCCCCTTAGGCACTCCCTAGTCCCCATCTCGACCTCTTGGTCATTGG